GACGGGCACAGAAGGCTAGTGTCGCGGCTCGCACTCCTCCCCCGCCTGCGCGTAGGGATAGGAAGAATCGCAGGTCAAAGGGAGGTAGGCAAGACCTAAGGGATTTGCAGCGTTTTCCGGGACCTGTGTGTTTCTGTCCTTTCTAAGGTAGGTCCTCTGTGAGCACCCCCTATGCTGGATTCAGAAACCGGGTTCTCGAATTGCAGTGTTACCTCACTCGTCGATATTGTGTCCAGCTGGTATGATAGCCCTGGTTCCGGCTTCATGCTTCCTGGATCATGCAGCCAGGTCACAGGCTTCTGCGGGAGCCTTCTTTACCATCAGGCCCCCGGCACGGCACTGCGCTCCAGGATATCCCCTCTTGCTGAGGCATCGAGCGGGAAGTATAGGTGGCATTTGCGAGAACCTTCTTGTAATGCTGTCTCGGGCAGTGCTCCCCTCGTCTTAAGAGGGTTGTATTTGAGCTTGCCTCTCCCGTTTGTCTCAGTACCTCCAGGTATCTGTGATTAGATGCCTGGAAATTTTAAATCCATGCTATGGTAAGTGCACACGCTAAGCTCTGTGCACTTTCTGAAATCCACATAGTGGTAAGTGTGCACGTTGAACACTTTGCGCACTTTCTAAAATCCACATAGTGGTAAGTGTGCACGCTGAGCACTTTGCGCAATTTCTCAAATCCACATAAGTGGTAAGTGTGCACGCTAGACTTTCTGAAATCCTGTACGGTAAGGGTTATGCGTTATTAGCTTCGTTCCCTTTCTCTGAGTTGGTTAGACCCCGGTACCTTGGACTCCATTCAACCAGTATGTCTCTATTGACACATTTTGAAGCATCGCTCCCCTCACCATTGAGGGTTATTGAGAGTATGGTGCTTCCTATCGAGCGCTCGAGTTCTCTCCCCTTCTGAGGAGTTGGATTCCTCGCTCCGTGGGCTGTTCTCGTGGTAGTATTAGCAGTGCTCCCCTTTACCAAAGGGTTGCCTATGAGCGCGCTATTCCTTTCTGAATTTGGAGTTCTGCTCTCACGTGAGAGTTGAGTTCTCTGTTTTTCCCATAGCACCTGGAACCAGCAGCATCAGGTGAACTAGGCCCTTCCTCCGTCTCTCTGATTGCTGAGTTTTTGGCTAGCCTGCAGTACGCTTACCCTTCTGATTTCTAACGATCATGCTGTAGGTCGAGCCCCCTCTCTCGTTGAGAGCTGGGTTTGTGCTCCCTCAGCTAGGTAACTTACTGCTAGCCGTTCCAGTATTGGAACATGCTGTAGGTCGAGTCCCCCTCTCGTTTGAGAACTGGGTGTGTTGCTCCCTCAGCTAAATAAATTACTGCTAGCTGTTCCAGCATTGGAACATGCGGTAGGTCAAGCTCCCCTCTCGTTTGAGAGCTGGGTGTTTGCCTCCCTCAGCAAGATATTTACTGCTAGCCACTCCAGCTTTATACCTTAGATCGAGTTGATGACTCTCAAACATATTGGTTTTGGGATGCACCATTCCATCAATGAGCTGCTCTTTCAGTGCCACGAGAGCCCTTTAGAACGGTATCTTAAAATCCATGTTATGGGAAGTGTGCATGTGAAGTCTTTGTGCACTTTCTACAATCCACACTGTGGTAAGTTCGCACGCTAGTACTTTGCATGAGGTGAGGTGAGGGCTTTGCATGGTTGCTTTGTGACCTTCTTGAGCTGGTTAAAGCCCCGTTCACCTTGGGCGCCACTCCACCTAGGTATCCAAAACTACCTACTTTAACAGGGTGTTGCTACTAGGGG